AAAAAAGAAATGATTAATCCCTTAAAGGTACAAATTTGGCGTCGGTCATTCGATGTCCTGCCACCGGAAATTACTCCCGAAAATCCCTACTATGCCAAAATACGTAACAATCCCAAATTTAAAGATATACCAAAGGACAAATTTCCCGATACGGAATCATTGAAAACGTTGATGCTGCGGGCCATACCCCTTTGGGAACAGGAAATAATGCCAAAAGTTTTAAGCGGTCAGAGGGTGCTGGTTGTGGCCCATGGTACTGTGGTGCGGGCCCTAATGAAATATATTGAAAGTAAGGAAAACCAAGTTACCTTTCGATTTTTTTAATATTTAATACCTTTTCAGATATATCCGATGACGATATCATGAAAGTGAACATACCCAATAGCGTACCGTGTGTTTTCGAATATGACATGGCGACCGGACAACGTGTGGGTAATATTCAATATCTGGCCGATGCTGATTATGTTAAGAAAGAAACAGAAAAAGTGGCCGCAATTGGAAATTAAATTTCTCGTATGACTGATTTACGATACTAATTATAATTATTATATAATATTGTTTTTGTTTAATATATTTATTTTTATTGTACAAATAACATTTTTCAAATAAATAATATTGATTTACATCAGAAAACATTTAGAGCCTTAGAAAAATATTTTTAACATATCCACGCCTTGTATAGGTCCCGAAAAAGGTCATATTTAACATATCCACGCCTTGTATAGGTCCCGAAAAAGGTCATCTTTAACATATCCACGCCTTGTATAGGTCCCGAAAAAGGTCATCTTTAACATATCCACGCCTTGTATAGGTCCCGAAAAAGGTCATCTTTAACATATCCACGCCTTGTATAGGTCCCGAAAAAGGTCATCTTTAACATATCCACGCCTTGTATAGGTCCCGAAAAAGGTCATCTTTAAGATATCCACGCCTTGTATAGGTCCCGAAAAAGGTCATCTTTAACATATCCACGCCTTGTATAGGTCCCGACAAAGGTAATCTTTAACATATCCACGCCTTCTATAGGTCCCGAAAAAGGTAATCTTTAACATATCCACGCCTTGTATAGGTCCCGAAAAAGGTAATCTTTAACATATCCACGCCTTGTATAGGTCCCGAAAAAGGTCATCTTTAACATATCCACGCCTTGTATAGGTCCCGAAAAAGGTAATCTTTAACATATCCACGCCTTGTATAGGTCCCGAAAAAGGTCATCTTTAACATATCCACGCCTTGTATAGGTCCCGAAAAAGGTCATCTTTAAAAAATCCACGCCTTGTATAGGTCCCGAAAAAGGTCATCCTTAAAAAGTCCAAGCCTTGTATAGGTCCCGAAAAAGGGTATCTTTAAAAAGTCCTAGCCTTGTATAGGTCCCGAAAAAGGTTATCTTCAAAAAGTCCAAGCCTTGTATAGGTCCCGAAAAAGGTCATCCTTAAAAAATCCACGCCTTGTATAGGTCCCGAAAAAGGTCATCTTTAAAACATCCACGCCTTGTATAGGTCCCGAAAAAGGTCATCTTTAAAACATCCACGCCTTGTATAGGCCCCGAAAAAGTTCATCTTTAAAAAATCCACGCCTTGTATAGGTCCCGAAAAAGGTCATCTTTAAAACATCCACGCCTTGTATAGGTCCCGAAAAAGGTCATCTTTTAAACATCCACGCCTTGTATAGGCCCCGAAAAAGTCATCATAAAAAATCCTTGTATAGGTTCCGAAAAAGGTCATCTTTAAAACATCCACGCCTTGTATAGGCCCCGAAAAATGTCATCATTAAAAAATCCACGCCTTGTATATAGGTCCCGAAAAAGGTCATCTTTAAAAAATCCACGCCTTGTATAGGTCCCGAAAAAGGTCATCTTTAAAAAATCCACGACTTGTATATGTCCCAAAAAAGTAATCTTTAAAAAATCCACGACTTGTATAGGCCCCAAAAAAGTAATCTTTAAAAAATCCACGCCATGTATAGGTCTCGAAAAAGTAATCTTTAAAAAATCCACGCCTTGTATAGGTCTCGAAAAAGTAATCTTTAAAAAATCCACGACTTGTATAGGTCCCAAAAAAGTAATCTTTAAAAAATCCACGCCTTGTATAGGTCCCGAAAAAGTAATGTTTAAAAAAAAACCTTTAATTCACCTATCCGAGTTGCATTGCTACAACAACAAAGTACCGTTACGCTAAATAAAATTTTGAATTCCATTAATGAGAAAATCAGTGAATTGAAATTCATTCATAAAAAAGTGAATGAATTAATTAGCCCAACAAGAATATCCGCCCTCCATATGGCTGGCAGAGGCCACTTGACCAGATATTAAATCATGGATGGCATGGGCGGCATTCCAGCTGGTTGAGTTTTCATTTTATGTCACAACTATCAACGAAACTCCAAAAAATAAACAACAACAAAAAACAAAAGTCAGTAAATTAACATATGTCATAAAATTAATGAGCGCCCAACAGATAAAGAGAGAGAGAAAAGAGAGCATCAGTTTCCCACAGCAACCACCAGTGAAACGTCAATTCAAAAATTGTTTTCTTTTTCATTTTTGAAACATGAAAAGTGGAACTGAAAGTTCGTTTATTTTGGGGGTGTTTATTGGCTTATTCTTCTTCCTTTTCTTGTTGCACAATTCTACACAAGTTTCAAAACAAAAACATATGCTGAGAGAAATAGATAAATTGAGGAGAGAAGATACATTTTCTGTGAGAAGAAATGTTTGTTAATGGAATTGAAATGCTGTGGGGGAGAGTGGGCGAATAAGATGAAAGCAACAGAGAAATGCAACACGAGTTTGCGCCAAGTTGAAGATGAGGAAACACTTGTGTTTCATTAATGAAACATGGGAACAGGGTTACCAAGCCGTGTATTTCATAAAGATTAGTTTATCAAGACCTTTATAAGGCGTGGATTTTTTTAAAGATTAGTTTATGGAGACTTTTACAAGGTGTGGATTTTTTAAAGATTACTTTTTCGAGACCTTTACAAGGCGTGGATTTTTTAAAGATTAGTTTATCGAGACCTTTACAAGGCCTGGATTTTTTAAAGATTACTTTTTCGAGACCTTTACAAGGCCTGGATTTTTTAAAGATTACTTTTTCGAGACTTTTACAAGGCGTGGATTTTTTAAAGATTAATTTTTCGAGACCTTTACAAGGCGTGGATTTTTTAAAGATTACTTTTTCGAGACCTATACAAGGCGTGGATTTTTTAAAGATTACTTTTTCGAGACCTTTACAAGGCGTGGATTTGGTAAAGATTAGTTTTTTGAGACCTTTACAAGGCGTGGATTTGGTAAAGATTAGTTTTTCGAGACCTATACAAGGCGTTAATTTTTTAAAGATTCGATTTTCGAGACCTATACAACGCGTGGATTTTTTAAAGATTCGATTTTCGAGACCTATACAAGACGTGGATTTTTTAAGGATTCGATTTTCGAGACCTATACAAGGCTTGGATTTTTTAAAGATTCGATTTTCGAGACCTATACAAGGCGTGGATTTTTTAAAGATTCGATTTTCGAGACCTATACAAGGCGTGGATTTTTTAAAGATTCGATTTTCGAGACCTATACAAGGCGTGGATTTTTTAAAGATTCGATTTTCGAGACCTATACAAGGCGTGGATTTTTTAAAGATTCGATTTTCGAGACCTATACAAGGCGTGGATTTTTTAAAGATTCGATTTTCGAGACCTATACAAGGCGTGGATTTTTTAAAGATTCGATTTTCGAGACCTATACAAGGCGTGGATTTTTTAAAGATTCGATTTTCGAGACCTATACAAGGCGTGGATTTTTTAAAGATTCGATTTTCGAGACCTATACAAGGCGTGGATTTTTTAAAGATTCGATTTTCGAGACCTATACAAGGCGTGGATTTTTTAAAGATTCGATTTTCGAGACCTATACAAGGCGTGGATTTTTTAAAGATTCGATTTTCGAGACCTATACAAGGCGTGGATTTTTTAAAGATTCGATTTTCGAGACCTATACAAGGCGTGGATTTTTTAAAGATTCGATTTTCGAGACCTATACAAGGCGTGGATTTTTTAAAGATTCGATTTTCGAGACCTATACAAGGCGTGGATTTTTTAAAGATTCGATTTTCGAGACCTATACAAGGCGTGGATTTTTTAAAGATTCGATTTTCGAGACCTATACAAGGCGTGGATTTTTTAAAGATTCGATTTTCGAGACCTATACAAGGCGTGGATTTTTTAAAGATTCGATTTTCGAGACCTATACAAGGCGTGGATTTTTTAAAGATTCGATTTTCGAGACCTATACAAGGCGTGGATTTTTTAAAGATTCGATTTTCGAGACCTATACAAGGCGTGGATTTTTTAAAGATTCGATTTTCGAGACCTATACAAGGCGTGGATTTTTTAAAGATTCGATTTTCGAGACCTATACAAGGCGTGGATTTTTTAAAGATTCGATTTTCGAGACCTATACAAGGCGTGGATTTTTTAAAGATTCGATTTTCGAGACCTATACAAGGCGTGGATTTTTTAAAGATTCGATTTTCGAGACCTATACAAGGCGTGGATTTTTTAAAGATTCGATTTTCGAGACCTATACAAGGCGTGGATTTTTTAAAGATTCGATTTTCGAGACCTATACAAGGCGTGGATTTTTTAAAGATTCGATTTTCGAGACCTATACAAGGCGTGGATTTTTTAAAGATTCGATTTTCGAGACCTATACAAGGCGTGGATTTTTTAAAGATTCGATTTTCGAGACCTATACAAGGCGTGGATTTTTTAAAGATTCGATTTTCGAGACCTATACAAGGCGTGGATTTTTTAAAGATTCGATTTTCGAGACCTATACAAGGCGTGGATTTTTTAAAGATTAGTTTATCGAGACCTTTACAAGGTGTGGGCTTTTTAAAGATTACTTTTTCGAGACCTTTACAAGGTGTGGGCTTTTTAAAGATTACTTTTTCGAGACCTATACAAGGCGTGGATTTTTTAAAGATTAGTTTATCGAGACCTTTACAAGGCGTGGGTTTTTTAAAGATTAGTTTTTCGAGACCTTTACAAGGCGTGGGTTTTTTAAAGATTAGTTTATCGAGACCTTTACAAGGCGTGGATTTTTTAAAGATTAGTTTATCGAGACCTTTACAAGGCGTGGATTTTTTAAAGATTAGTTTATCGATACCTTTACAAGGCGTGAATTTTTTAAAGATTAGTTTATCGAGACCTTTACAAGGCGTGAATTTTTTAAAGATTAGTTTATCGAGACCTTTACAAGGCGTGAATTTTTTAAAGACTTGTTTTTAGGCATAATATGCTAAGAAATCCGGCTACCGAATAATTTGCTTAGACTCACTAAACTGTACCTTAGGTTAACATTGGGCGCCAAATAACAAATTTTAGCGGTATGTTATAAACGTTGGGCGCTAGTTATGAGACATTGCTGTCATGAATTCAATACGCCGTATCATATCACTTCATGTTAACGTTGGGGCCCAATTGGACGGCTATCTGAAGTCATTTACGTATTTAG